TATTTATATCAAATAACAGTTTTTATAAAAGCCATCATGGAGTGCGCGATAGACTTACCTCCACGTGGTGCACCCTGGGCAACGTATATTCATACGGCAAAAAGTCTATTAATCGGCAGTTGACTTCTGACTTCAAACTACCATCACCCCACTGCGGGCCATATTCTAGCACTTCACGATACTCACCTTACCTTTTCTCTGCTTTTGTGTCTGTCCATCTCTTTTACATCCCTGAATCACTTTTCTGTTCCCCCTCTCGAATTTTTCTCTTTTTGATGTTCCTCCCCCCCCCCCCCTGTGAAGCCCGAAGTCAGCTAAAGGGTTAATGAAAACTATCATAAAGCCTGCCATTTGAAATAAATAAATGAATAATAGCAGTTATTAGCCCTTTAGTTAACTTCAGGTTTCACGAAGGAGAAGCACATCAAAGTCACAAAGTGGAGGGGGGGGGGGAAGAGTGTTTCACAGATGTAAAAGAGACAGAAACAAAGGTAGAGAGAAAGGTAAGGTAAGGAGAGTACTGTGAAAGTGGTCGAATATGACATATAGTGTGGTCATGGTAGTTTAAAGTCAACTGCCTGTTTATAGACTCTTTTGCCGTATGAATATACTTTGACTATGGTGCATCACATCGGGCTCTCCAATTCGAAGCATATTTTTGAGGTAAAATAGAATATACAATAATAAGCAATTTTATTCCAGTATCAATTTTTAATCCTTATAAATAAAGTTCACCGTAATGCTTTTTTACTCTTTATTTAGGCTTTAATTTTTTCATTAATTTAATCATTATGCTCAGACAGGTGCCAAATGCCGTTGCCAAATAGGGTGAAATTCATATCTTAGACTTTGAAATACTTAATAAAGTACTTTTATTCTCATCAGACCAAGCAGGTGTTTTTAGCCACGCTTAAAGTTCGTGCGCAATGAGTATTGATATTCCCTCGAACACACGAGGCGATATTATTTGTCTAATGCCTGTCCTAAAGCTGATTCAATTTTCGCATCGCGCACCATCGCACGCGCAGCGATGACGTCATTACTGCGCTAGGCACAACGAATCGGTACAGGAGCGGTAAACAGCAGTCGAGAGACCGCGTATGCCAAAGGGAACGCGAGGTTTTAGTCGCGTAGCTTACCTATTTTATCTCCGATCTGACAACTAACATTTTAACGCCTCAATGCCTGTTTACAATGGCTTTAAGGAATGTGCATTCAAGCACTTTAATGAGGCCGTGGCAACCACTATTGGCAGATAAGAAAAGTCTGCTTCAATATGAAGCACTTTTGAGATAATTGAGAACGAAACATTTAGTCTACAATAGGGCTTCACTAACTTGGCATTATTCCACAGTATTAAAGTGAATAATCAAATCATTATCAATTTAAACAATCCACCAAAGCTAAGTTAAAGAAAATGACCGCGTGGATCGATGTGAGCCAGACACACCTCAAACGTAGAGGTTTATTCCTCATTTCTCTGATAAAATTTATTCCCGCACACAATTCTGACCTACTTAGACGGTTCACAAAATTATAGCATTGATCAAGCACTCCACATATACATGCTCGCATAAAATTGAAGATGTTAGAAGGATGTGAGGAGCCAAGTAAATTATGTACTGATGATTCCAATATGGGATGCGCCGTAGACTTACCTCCAAGTGGTACAACCTAGGCAACGTATACTTATACGGCAAAAAAGTCTGTTAATCGGTTGTTGACTTCTGACTTCAAACTTCTATGGCCCGACTATTCGACCACTTAGACAGTACTCATCTTACCTTTCTTATGCCTTTCTGTATGTCTGTCTGTCTCTTTTACCTCTGTGAATCATTATTCTGTCTCCAATCTCGACTTTTTGTCACTGTGATGTTCCTTCTCTCTGTGAAGCCCCGAAGTCAGCTCCAGGGCAAATGATAACTATCAAAATGCCTTCCATTTGATATGAATAAATAAACGGATTCCAATATATGTACGAATGTATATATAAATATGTATAAATCACATGCAAAAATTCCACTTACTCACAATCAAAAGTAGGACGTATTGTCTGTTGGTATCTGTGCGCATACACGTCTGTAAGCCAGTATGCATGGCAATATGTACACCGGGCATTTTGTCACTCAACGAAGCTAGCTGTAACCGCATCGACTCATACAATAACCGCTCCTTCAACTAACTAACGCCCAAAGCCACCAAGACAGTCCCGAAAGTTGGAGCATTAATTCAATCACCGTTAAAAGTTACATCCAAATTAGTTCCATTACCGAGCCAGTGCTCTCCAGTGCTTACGCCTAATTACTTCTAACCAAATGGAGGCAAAAAAATGCTACACCTCACTCCACATCAATTAGACGAACACTCGAATTTGCCTCGAGAAATAACAGCACTTCCCTTCCTCATAGATACCCAGCTTTTCACAACACTCTTATAATTCCATTCAAATAAATACCTATATCAAATCGTATGCAAAACAGTAAGTTGGAGGGGAAATGGGGGGAGAATGGAGGGTGATGGAGGGGATTTTGCGTAGATAAAATAAATGGAGTACAAATGTAAAGAACAAATTATTTCACCTCCGTAGCTACCGTTGAATAAGGGATCGGCACATGCTCCCATGATCCCCGTCCTCGTCCTTGTCCTTGTCTTTGTCCCTGTCTTTGAACTCCTTCTCGTTCTTGATCACAACCTTTTCTTCCGTCTGTGGGTTCTCCGTGTATGCCAAACTGCAAAGATTGCATCGCCGTCGGCAAACACATTCATTCCAGTGTTTCAAAAGCCTACAGCATCGTCTGCAATCCTTGTAAATACAGTTTTCTCTACTTGAGCAAGCGTTCATGTGAGAGAGAATATCGCGCATCACTCGGCAACTTCTTCTCTCGCATCTGAGATTCGAACAGTTGGTAGCATGAATGACCAATGAGAGATAGTGTCGCATGTACTTTAGTTGCGCTGGGGTTGCCCTGGCCATGATCGCAAAGTGAACCTTCTGAAATGAAAGGAAAGGAGGTAACAACTGCTGAATAGGATGCGCCAACTCTTAATCATACAGGAAAGGGCAAACTGGCCCTAGAAGGCAATGACGAATATGTTATGAAACAGGTGTCTCCAAGTTATCTACTGACTTTATGCAAGAAAAGCTGACTTAAACGCATACAAACAACGAAAAGACATGAAATGTTAACACTTGCAATCGAAGAATTAAGCAAACGAAATTTGAAATGCCCGGTGTAGGTAATAATAATCGGCTAAAGGTTCCGTGGGCAGATTTAACGAAAGCTCAATGTGAGCGAATAAAAATTCGTATTACTTTTAACACTGCTCACATAATTTTGAATGAAAATCTTTAATCCTTTCAAAATTTATTTCAAATGGCAGGCTTTGTGATATTTATCATTAGCCCTAAAACTTTGACTTCAGCTTCCCCCAAGGGGGGGGGGGGGGGTACATTTATAGCAGTTAATTAATAGCAGTTCATTAGCCGTCTACTTGTTTCCCAGTATCTCTGGCTTTCCGTCCTTGTCTTTAGGGCTGGACATCGAATCAGGTGGGTCTTCTCCATTTCCTCATGTAGGTTACATAGAGGGCATGTGGGTTGAGTGTATACTCCCAATCTGTGAAGGTGTTTTGCCAAGCAATCGGGTCGGGTTTGTAATCTAAACTCAGCAAAGGCTTCGATTTTTGGCCAGTCGGCTATGTCGGAGAGTGCCACTGTCCACTGTTTCTGATTCTTGGCTAGTCGGCTATGTCGGAGAGTGCCACTGTCCACTGTTTCTCTGTTGTTCGAGCTTTGAGTTCGTTGAACCTTGAGGTCTGGAATTCGAGCTTTAATTTCGTTGCACATTGAGGTCGGGAATTCTTTTCTGATTAAGGCCTTCATTGTTGTCCTTGACATGAATTCTCTCCTGATTAAGGCCTTCATTGTGTGGACTGTCCGATACGTAGTCTAAACTCAGCAACGGCTTCGATTCTCGCCAGCCGGGTATGTCGGAGAGTGCCACTGTCCACTATTTCTCCTAGCTATATCGAAGAGTGCCACTGTCCACTGTTTCTGATTCTTGGCTAGTCGGCTATGTCGGAGAGTGCCACTGTCCACTGTTTCTCTTTTGTTGTTTAAGTTCGTTGCACCTTGAGATCTTGAATTCTCTTCTGATCGGGAGAGTGCCACTGTCCACTGTTTCTCATTTCCGAGCTTTAAGTTCGTTGTACCTTGAGGTCTTGAATTCTCTGAATTCTCTCCATTGTTGTCCTTGAGCCTTCATTGTTGTCCTTGACATGAATTCTCTCCTGATTAAGGCCTTCATTGTGTGGACTGTCCGATACGTAGTCTAAACTCAGCAACGGCTTCGATTCTCGCCAGCCGGGTATGTCGGAGAGTGCCACTGTCCACTATTTCTCCTGTATGTCGGGAGAGTGCCACTGTCCACTGTTTCGATTCTTGGCTAGTCGGCTATGTCGGAGAGTGCCACTGTCCACTGTTTCTCTGTTGTTCGAGCTTTGAGTTCGTTGAACCTTGAGGTCTGGAAAGCCGGGTATGTCGGAGAGTGCCACTGTCCACTATTTCTCCTAGCTATATCGAAGAGTGCCACTGTCCACTGTTTCTGATTCTTGGCCCAGCCGGGTATGTCGGAGAGTGCCACTGTCCACTATTTCTCCTCTACCTTGAGGTCTGTCCACTATTTCTCCTTTGTTCGAGCTTTGAGTTCGTTGCATCTTGAGGTCTGAAATTCTCTTTTGATTAAGGTCTTCATTGTGTGGAAAGACATCGGCCGGTCATCGTTCTTTCTTTGGTTCTCTCTTGGTTCTTTGCCTGTTGTTTTGGAGGTTACTCAGGAATTTGAAAGTGCGTTGGCTATCACTTTGATAGTTTATATTTGAGATGAACTTGTCGAAAGAAGTGCGTTTAGCTTGTAAGATGGCTAGCCTTAGGACAGCTGTTTGTCGTCTCCAGGCTTTTACGTCTTCCATTCTTCCAGTCTGATCAGCAGTGCTGCGAAGGGCGTCCCTCTTTCTTTTCAGTTCCTCAAGGTGTTTAGACCAAAACACTCGATAGTGTTTAGTTTTGCCTCGGGGAATAGTTTTCTTTGCACATCTAATCATAATATTCGTGATATCGTTGCAAAGTTTGTCAGGATGTTGGTTGAAGTTGAGGGGACTTGTGTGAAGTTCATTCTCGAAAATGTTTGTGAATCTAGGCCAGTCAGCCTTCTTGAAGTTCCATGATAGTTAAGTTGGCACTTTCCTTGACACACTTTTGCTGCCAATGGTAACACTAGCAATGACTGGTTTGTGACCAGAGCCAGAATCGTCAATTATTTTTCGGCGTGTATGCTCATTGATGTCGCTTGAAGCCAAGAGTAAATCAGGAGTTGTTCTGGTTCCATTGCAGGGTAGATATGTAGCCGGATCCTCATTGCCGTAAATAAGTTCCAGAGGGTTGCTGTTTAGCATGTCTTCAATTTTCTTTCATCTTTTCAAAATGATTTAATAAAATTAGTAATTCAATCGTCCAATGAGAAGTCAATTAAAGCACGAATATAAACAAATCACACTGTTGCAACGGCTTTCGAAATGCTCTAAACCAATCAGCAAATAACCTCCACTTGCAGCTGTAGGAAAATTTGCGTCACGAAAATTTAAGTAACTGTT